CTTTCATCGTTCTTCTGAACGACATCATCAGCACAAACTTCAGATTGAAATGAAATAAAAAAACACTCTATATTATTTGATATGAAAATTCAGAAATAATAACTGTCGACTACCTCCAACCACCATCTTATCTCGATATAGTGTACGCGATGAAGAGTCACCAAGACTGGTGGTGGATACATCACAATCCTACAGGAGATCATTCATGGCCCGGATTGCTCATCGGTAACATCTATAAATGTGAAGCTGAGGGATATTGGATTGGATCCATCAGAGAGTATCAATTCCTTCAAGATTACAGGTACACTATGCTGACGAGTGCCAAATAGCACGAAACCCATGTACAGGGTTTCCTGTTGACTACCTCCAACCACCATCTTATCCCAACATAGTACACGCAATGTCGAGTCACCTAGACGGATGGCTACATTGCAACTTGGTCGATAGGATTCGATCTGCACCAAGAAGTATCTGACACATGATATTGATCACCACCTGGTGACCAATCAATTGTGAATACTTCCAAATACCTTTATATCTGTTAAATAAGTTTTTAGCTATCAAAGCTCAGTAATTCAAGGGATAATATGTTACTGTTAAAAGGTGTAAGACATAAGGGTCTCAATATAATCATAAATACAGAACTGTCTAGTTGATTAGTCCTAAAGATGACCAAATGTGTCTGTTTGAGTCTGTTCTCAGAAACTCATCAAATATACCATTAATCCAATTAGTTGATGGCTTTAGGTCAAGGTTTAGTGGTGACTAGTTTTATGTTTTAGTTGATATTTATCACAGATAAAGCTGAATTGGGGTAACACTGGACGAAAATAGTACTGAACAAGTGAGAACAATCGACTGTATTGGAATACAAATTTACACGATCACTTAGTAAAATCTGAACTCGATAGAGTAAATACTTCACTTGCAGCATATCAATCAATCGTCTTAGGCTTCATTGTTCTTTCGTTTCCAAACGAATCATTTTCTGCCTTCATTCTCTTCTTTTCTCTTCGATCTTCTTAACATCCTCCACCAGACATTTCACTATCAGTTGATGATACATACTACTTTTATCTGTCAACATCAATAGCACACACCAAAATTACAGAATATGCCCAATTGGGGTACTATTCAACAATGATAGTACCGAACAAACGTTTCGACTTAATATATGAAAGTTATCTTCATGTGCATTGATCAATTAAACAATTACGTTAATTTATATGTTATCCTAACTGTAGGATTTTCTATAAATCATTGGCTGTTGCTATGTAAATTACTATTGATATTTGTACTATGTATATCCTGGTTATGTATGTAATAAATTTTAGTTGGGATCACAAACCGACCCGACCTAGACAACTATTCATTCTAGTACGTCAGTACTCAGCAATGTGTATCGACGACCATAGCACATTTAATCGAACCCAAGATCTTCAGTTTTTTTAGCAAGGTTGCTTTCTATGGGATAGGACTGTTTACCCCATGCCCAACCCTTCTCCTTTACCCAGGCTTGGGACAGGCAGTAACCCTAGAAGAGGTAAAGGGAGAGGTGAATAGGATATACTTTGCGGAAATCATCAAACTACATTAAAAGGCTGGCACAAACGTGGAATCTTGAAGGGGAACAGAAAAAAGCAAGTCCAAAGAACATAGTGAGTCAAGAATCGGAAGCAAACATCAAAAGTATAAGTAGCAACTGGATAAGATTGGAAAGAATTGTCCAGGGCTGAGTTGGGTGGAGAATGTTGGTGAACGACCTTTTCTCCTCTACGAGGGGTAACAGACGTAGGTAAGTAAGTAAGATCTTGTCTTTTGACCAACCGTTTACATACCTAACTTTGATCAATTCACCACATCAACTAACAATCGCCCATTGCTCTCAGTGGATAACAATCTCATACTCCTGGACTTGACATCATTCCACTGGTTACGTCTGATCTTTGGAATCCTGAGAGTTTTTTCACAAAGTTAGTTACTAATTGATAATTCTTGCTTATTGAACGCTATATTCGGTTCCTAAGCTATCTCGTAACCCCCAAGCAAGACCTACACGACCTGAACACGAGAGAAAAGGCATAAAAATATGCAAGAAGCACTTTACTCCAAAGTTCATTCTAGTACAGAAAAATATAGCGTTTTCATAGTATTTTAGATGTCCTTGGGTTTCCCGAAGATTCTGGAATGCTAATAAACATAGCAGCAGTATAGTAACCAGCCAATCAGAAACTCTACATGTGACTTTCCACTTCCTTGATGTTTCTGGCTAACCTTCAAGTGAACGCTGATTGGATGAAACGCTTCTTAGTGTTTCTTGAGCCTTTTTTGTTTTTTGCGGGAAGTTTTCTGGATCACCCCAACACTAATTAGCAAATGTTCAATACTTCCTGGTTTTCAATGTTAATCTACCTTAGTTTGATTCGTGGTCTCAATAACATGTAAAAATCTCAACAAATCCCCGGTACTGATAATTATTATTATGTGCTCACTTGTGAGAGGAATCTTCCTCAGTTCCAGTAAGAAGCCACGACACACTCTTCCACATCAGGTAATAGAAGATGCTTACAAAATATTACCAGCTAATTGAATTTAAATATATAAACCATTGGGTCTTTGCTCAGCGGTTGAGAAGTTAGACGTTCGAATGTGAGACCTCAAGCCTTAGGTTCGACCCCCTGTTTGATGTCGAGAATGAGAAATAATGTTTCGTTTTAGGATGAGATAGTTTTAAACTGTTTTAAATCTAGAATTTAATATTATGCATTTTAGTAAAGGTTTTCATCACGAACTGACATTAGCGATGATGCCAAAATGTTATTTGACTGTGTGGATAAATGAATTTTGCGCACAAATCTAAGACCTAGTATTCTGAAATTCAAAGGTTCATTCATGAATTATAATTTGGCCGATGATTATTATGATTAGATTCTCTTTATCGTAATTCCTACATGAGCTTATTTCAGCTTCTGAACAGACATTATTCTATTGATTGTTTTGTTCAGTTGACCTTTCATCACTATCCGTATACTATTGTGTGTGATACATTCAAGTATGTATGTCTACTTATTTGTATTTTGTACATCCCTTCTGTTAGCTGAGTCTCGTTTAATGTTCTCTAAATTCTAAGTATAGGGTTCATTCATGAACCGCTTTAAGTTAGACCACTGTTGAAAACCTGAAAGTCATTGACGGTCGTATCTTCACAGTATGGGACTCCTTAGTGATGCACATCCACGACGCCGCTCACACAGATTGAACCTAGAACTTTCAGTCTTCAAGTTTATATGCTCCTGAATCAAGTAATTTATCCAGATTCTCATCGTTTATCTACTGTTCGTATATATGCTGAAAATAAACACGTACTTAAAACACTATTAGTATTCGAATTTTCATTTCCTGCTGTTATTAACTAGAATAGTCAACAGAGTATGCATAAAGTAAATAGGACCTATAGTTCATTTATCATCATCAATAGGATCAAAATACCCCGTTATAAAATCATAGTCCTGATGCGTCTAATCTCATACATGCACGGCATAGATCCTAAATAAATGGTACAAAATTGTTTGAAGGTTTTCTCTTGTACATTACATGCAGTTAACCAACTGATTAGTAAATCTTTCTTTTAACATTTAATCAATATTGACATTTAGAGCGTATCAAATGATTAACGTAATTGTAAAATAAAACAAGACTATAATGTACATCACAGACCGACGATAGTTAGACAACTAGGAACTAATAGATAACTGTTCCGTTCTAGTATAGGACTTCAATTCCAAATGAAGAACAGCACAATAAGGTATACTGTTGGGGACGTTAGATCCCCAGAACTCACTTACGAAAGGACTTAATTCTGTCATTTTATTTGGAAAATTTTAAATTTATTTATTTTCGCGCCAAAGGCGCTCTTGTCATCTTCATGTCATATTTCCCACTTGAGAAATATCTTAAATGCTATTGGTCCAATGCATCTTCTAATATGCTATTTGGTAACTCTCCCCAAGGACGGATTTGCACTGTATATATACCTTTTGAATTGTGTTTGTTGTTATCGCTCGTTTCTGGCTGATTTGCAGAATATAGTTCCCATTCGTAGCTTGGACTTCTCCCTCTAGTTAGCGGAGCTGGGACGCATCAAATAGCTAGCTTACTGGTATTGGTCACCGAGTCTTGTTCTCGTTCGCAGATTAAGTGAACTTGTGTTAGCTTCAGACCTAGCATATGCTTAAAAGATATCTTATGAATTCAACTGTTAAAAATAATACAATTTACACAAATCCTCATTGTCACAATAATCATGTACTCATTAGTGACCAACTTCAAGATGGATTTACTAGAGTTCTAGTGGGAAGCTGTGATCAGTGGAATCTAATCTGTGTCGATTGTGGGAGAGTTATCCACCTCAAATAATAGAAGAAGAGTTGTGCAAGATCATGGATTGATTGAAGTTAAACATTAATAACATCGGGTTCCAGGTCAATTATCTAGAGGTTAAACGTTCGCTCGCATCACTTTAGACCTTGGTTTCGAGTACCTCATGGGGGATCATAAATACTCACTACTGAGGAGTCCTATCCTATGGATCACCGTTAGACCACCACTGAAAATCTGGAAGCACTAAACGACCGTTTCTTTCAAGTATGAGACTCCTCAGAAAATTTACCAATAATCAATAGATCCCTGTTTAACACTTGAATTTCAGCCATCTAACCCTTTAACTACCATAAACATGAATCCAATCTCTTGTCAATGAAGTACTTATCAATTAAATGTTATATTTAAAAGTACTCATGAAGAGGATAATTATGAAAGGATGAAATAAATAGCATTAAATGAAACAATTCAAACATAGCAACAACAACAACAAAATCGATTACATGAACAAATGACAAAGCATTTCTTGAACATTGAATCTGTTAATAACTTATTTAAACAAAATTAATTATGTTTAATTAATTTTGTTTTGTTTTAATAAAGATTTATATAATTCATATCTATTGCCAATCAGCACCAAGTAATGCTAATAGAAGTCGTCTATAATCACCAGATGTTTCACTACGTATCCAATCTTCAAGTGAACTACCTTGATCATTATGAAATTGTGAACAAATACTTCCTAAATCAAACTAAATTAGGCAAAGAAACAAACAAACAAATGTACTAGAAATAAGAGGTTGATTAAAGATATCAAACTCAAAGCTATTTAGTTGTATATAACTGTTTGACCTTACGACTGTAATACTATTGGCTAAATATGACAAGTAGATTTGACCAATCAGCGTTAAGTTAAATAAATTCAAGGTTGACTCAAAGAATGTTTATTTCAATAGTTGAAATCATGAGTCAATTAAAGCTAGATCATCATGGAAAACCTGAAAGCACTGGATGGCCGTTTCGTCCCAGTATGGGACTCCTTAGCAGTGAGCATCCACGATTCAATAGTTGAACTATTTCCATAGTTCAGCTATTGAAATTTCTAAAATCTTCACAATACTTCTTCTGAAAATGTTTATTTATCTGTGTGTATCTATATAAACAATTAGTTTTGTGTATAATTATTCCCATATTCGTTCATTAACAACGATTTGTATTGTAATAAGCTAGAAGAAGTTTTATCATGTTCAGATCATTATAAGCTATTTATTCTAAATAGATAATCAACTATAGGATAGGAGCAATTAACTTACAATTAAATGAACTATTCAAAACATACATTACAATAATATTCGGATTGATTTTAAGACTCAAGTTACGTAATTCGACTTGGTTATTGAAAGCTTCTGTCGTCTAAGAAACTTGTAAGCATGCCCTTGTACAGCTGAGAGTGGGGAGAGTCAACTATCCCTCTCAAATGCTCTCAAGTGATCACGCGTGTACGACCACTGAGAGTGAAGTCCTACTCACTGCCTTCTCAAAGCATTACTGTTGTTTACGAAATTGAGAGGATGAAAAGTGAATGTCTGGCGCTTTAACCGGGTTCGGTGGATATGGAGAGTCCACCTAGGGGAGTTGGAAAACCCTCATTCCAATCCAATGGTGCACATAGGCTCCAGCATCCTGAAGGAACAAATGGAGTACGAACCAATTGTTGGTTAGCGGCTACTATGGAACTGCATCTCCTTACGATGCTCCGCCTTGTGGATCAGACCTTTAGGTTAAAGGCTCCGGGTGTGGTCCAGTAAGAAAACCACCTGTTTCTGTCCGGACAAACGAGCAGTATCCCAGCTCACATATAAATCAAGTAACTTGTGTGGCGCATATCTATTTGGTGCTTCCTTATACAAATGTTTATGTGTTTAAATAAATGAATAAATAAATAAGGAAGTAACACAGAGTAGGCAGATTCGTCTGAATGATTAGATTTTAAAGGTTGATTGGGTTCTTCTTGTCCGTTTGGCCAATATTATATTCTTTAGAAACCTTTGAAGTACGCTTACCTTTTTATTTGAAGTGTATACATTGATTTTTTGAAGAGTTTAATACATATCACTTTATCACATGGATAGACATCTAATATGGTTCAACCGTGTATTCAATGGTGTTTTGTTGTATGATCTAAATATCAGTCAGTCAGTCAGCTACAACGTAGGACCAGGCACATATATGCATCGGTCCAGGTTGCCATACCGCACTAGCACAGCAAGATGGACACCGGATTCATAGGAGTGGTTAGGTCAAAGGTGGTAATATATAGGAGAAAGATCTAAATATAGTGTTTCTATGGCTTATATTGTCACTTTAAATAAGATTCTTAGCAAATACGTCTGACAAAAGTGAACGTTTTAAATTTGCCCGCAAATCCTGTATGAATTACTTTAGATTATTTTGTTTGTGAATGATAATCTTGCCGACTTTCTTTATCGCCTTACATCTTTACTCTTGTACTAAATCTCATTAGAAATGGTATTACCCCAACAATGATACGATACGATGAAATGAATCTCTATCGAAATGTCTATTGACTATAGGTTAACCTATATGTCAGGCTTTTAGGAATTTCCTTGAAATGTTTTAGCTCTCTTGATTCATCTTTACAGTTGAATTCTATATCTATAACAGTCTGTGAAGAGTGATGTGAGTAAAGACGCATTGTGTTGTTGACCTTTCAGTCTATGCTCGTTTATGAATAGGTTATGTGGGAGTCTAGTGTGTTTAATATAATTTTTTTCTTTTTGATTGAGATCATGAACTGATTGATGTTAAACCACCAGTGAAAACTCGGAAGTACTTGAAGGTCGTTTCGTTTTACTGTAGGACTCATCAGTAGTGCGCATCCACGATTCCGCTTACAGGATTCGAACCCAGGGCGTTTTTTGTAGTTCAACAACACACTGGTATGGTGAGTCAATCAGAAGTAGCCAAATGAGAGGCTCATTCGATGGCGATGAGAAGTAACCTGAAGGACAAATGAATGTTACTGACTAAGAAATAGATCGATTTTCTGAGGGGTAGAGTTGTATGTATATGAGTATTTGTGCATTTTATTCGGTAGCCCAATATACTTTCCCGCTCACACTTGTGTTCTCAATCAATTAGTCAGTTGAGCGAGTTAGCACAGAGCACATAGTGTATCAGTAACAGATTCGAACTTTGTCCATCACAACACATACAAGGTTATATTTAATGCATTAAACCTTTAATACTTACCTCACTTCTTGTCACAATAATACGCATTAGTGTACAATCATCGGTACCGGCACCTTTCATTGCTTTCAGCAATAAATCAGAATAAGCTTTTGGACGATTTAAACAAGTATTTACTATATATTCAAAAGAAATATTAAAGAAGTAAATGAACAATTGACAAAGACAATAATAAAAGTATGATTGAAAGCTAGTCAGCACGGAACAAATAATGAACGATTTCTATTGTATATATGATCTACTTATTCAATAGTAGATACTCAACCACAGATCAATCTATCACGTATGTATCACCTTACTAGTGTAATGAACGACAATACAGAGAGGTAGGGGAAAGAGGAAACCAATTTACAGTGTAACACAAAATTACAGAATATCTTGGTAAAATATGAAAACTATACACTAAATACTTTATTTGCAAATCTTCCCTCAACTGTCCATCACATTCTATATGATTATTTCACTACACAATCCCTCTCTACTTCCCTGTTCTGCGTTTCTTTAACTCAATCATCTTAGAGTTCTGATGTCAGGTTTTCTATTTCCGATTGGTGTTACATACTACTTATATCTGTCAACATTAATGGATAAGGATGTCTCAATTCAATCATTAAGTTAATATTTGACGATATGAATTCTTTAACGTTAGCTAAGTAGGTGAATAAGTATAACTGAATATCTTGAAGAGCCTTGAACCATTGTCTAATTTCTCTTGGCTTCAATGATCCCTAGAATACAGAGAGAAAGAGAGAGAGTGGAGAGATTTGTCCCATTTGAAATGTTCTTCTGTGGTTACAAGTTTATAGTCGCTAGCAGGAACCTCTACTCACTCCTTTTATGTAGCAGAGGTATTTGGTTGATCGTGTGAGGGTTTATCTAAAAGAAGTTGGACTATCCATAGTTCGCACAAATAGGCTCCAGGATTCAGGTGAACGAATGGGATAGGAATAAAGTTTCGTGACTGGTTATCTTTGGAGTGAATCTCCTGAAGTGATCAAACAATTTTGTGAATTAAACCTCAATGCTAAATGATGACAAGAATGATTCACTAAAAAAATCACCTATTTCAACCTGGGTGTTTTATGGACAGTATAAATTGTTAACTGGATATGGAAACTGCTCTTTGAGGTGATTAAAGTAGAAGACTCATGGTTTTAACTGCTTAACACTATCCATCTTTGTTTATAAACGTTGTGATGTAGGGCAATATCGAGGCAGTCGGCACAGGATATACATATACCAACAAGAGACTGATCAATTAAACTCCTGCATAACAGTGGGAAGATACAAGTAAACAATACCAAGTGAATTTGAACTTCACCACATTGTACAAACAAATGGCTACCTGAACTCATTATGTAAGTGGATAACGCGATAGTGTTTGAATCAAACACTGGATGAACATCAACTCTGAGATGGAGGCACACTCAGTTGACGAGTCCCAAATAGAACGAAACATGAGTCCTGGATTACACTGTCAGCCACTATCCATCTCTGCTCATAATGCTTGTGAATTAAGGTAATATCGAGGTAATTCGCACAAAATGCAAATATGCTAATAAGAGACTAATCAATTGCAGTCCTAAACATCAATGAGATTTAAACAACCAATACAACAATGAATTCAACTTCACATCACTATATAAGCTAGTGACTATCTAGATTCAGTAGCTAAGTGGATAACGTGATGGTGTCTCGAAAGCAAGGTACTGGATTTATGTCCTGAAGTAAACATAAACTATAGGATTCAAATATATCTAGTCGATGAGTTTCAAATAGGATGAAACGCACATCTTGGATTCCACTGTTAGCCAACATCATCTCTGTTTGTTATGAATTACTGTTACAAATGAATGGATTGGATAAATTCATTGAAATAAACAATAGATATTATAATGATTATCTTACAGGTTAATAAAAGAGCACTTTCAAAATCTCCAGATGTTTCAGACGCTAATGAATCAACCAATGTTTTATCATATTTCTATGAATAAAATGAAAAGCGAAATATTAACTGAATATTATTAAAGACAAAATAGATCCAGGTTTTCAATGGTGGTCTAGTTTCAATTGACTCATGATCTGAAGTGTTGAAATCACTACAATCTCCACAAAACCCCTTATGATACTAATCAACATATGCTCACTATTGGCTGGCTTCAAGAGATATATCCTGGAGTTCTATTGAGAAACAGTGACCAGTGGAGTTCAACCGGGTCAGTTGTGAGGTAGTAACTCACTGATGATAATGGTGGATGTATCGTTCATTTTCCTAGATTAGTTGGAGTTAGACATTAACACCGTTGGATGTCGACCAGCTCAGTGGTCTAGTTGGTTAAGCGCCTGGCGCGAGACTGACACATTCTGGGTTTGAATCTCGCGAGGCGGGGTCGTGGGTGCGCACTGCTGAGGAGTCCCGCAGTAGGACGAGACGGCCGTCCAGTGCTCCCAGGTTTTCCACGGTGGTCTAGCTTCAATTGACTCATGATCTCAACTGTTGAGATCCTTATGAATTTGTAGCAGAACTTTTTTTTCAATATTCAATTAATATACAATAACTTTTCATCTACAAAACCTGATTTGGTTTCAGTAACCGGTCAGTATTCAAGCCCATTACACAAATTGAATGATTTATGTAACACATATGTATTTTAATAGTTGAATTCATGAGTTCATTGAAGCTAGAACATTATGGAAAACCTAAAAGCATTGGACGGTCGTTTCGTACTATGATAATACAGTTAGTAGATAACAATCAAACAAATTCCAAGGCAAAAAAACAGACTATTAGTCAATTCTGATGAAATCCTAATAGTTCACTTTTCTTTAAGATACACATTGATGATACTACTCAGAAAGATTCACAGCTCAAAGACGACAGACACTACTTCCATTATCATATAAATACGAGTGAAGTTTCGACGTAAGTGAATACATATATATACAGAATGTTGCATAAAGATAAGACAAACCTTTTCAAACAGACGAGCAACCTCTTGTAAATGCCAAACATTTCGACCGGTTACAATTCGAATGATAGCAGATTCATCAGTTCCTAGATGCCTACAGGAATCAATAAAAAACACAACTGATATTTAAGAAAATACATAAATTGAGAATTTAACTATTTGCCTAAGAAGAAAAAGTGCTCTCATTATTACATTTTATGGTTAAATTAAGTCACTAACACCTTTACTTTGTCCATTCATACAATAAATAAACGTAATGAGATTTAAATGTTGGGGACATTAGATCCCCAGAACTCACTTACGAAAGGACCTAATTTTGTCATTTTATTTAGAAAATTTGAATTTCTTTGATTTCGCGCCAAAGGCGCTCTTGCCATCTTCATGTCATATTTCCCACTTGAGAAATATCTTAAATGCTATTGGTCCAATGCGTCTTTTAGTATGCTATTTGGTAACTCTCCCCAAGGACGGTTTTGCACTGTATATATACGTTTTGAATTGTGTTTGTTGTTATCGCTCGTTTCTGGCTGATTTGCAGAATATAGTTCCCATTCGTAGCTTGGACTTCTCCCTCTAGTTAGCGGAGCTGGAACGCATCAAATAGCTAGCTTACTGGTGTTGGTCACTGAGTCTTGTTCTCGTTCGCAGATTAAGTGAACTTGTGATAGCTTCAAACCTAACATTAACATGATATCAAATTTCAGTTAGTGTACTAAAAGGTTGGGTAAGTAGTTGGAAGTACCTATTCAACTATAGGATGAAGTCATATTCAGCTGACGAGTTTCAAATAGGATGAAACGTGTATCCTGCTAGCCACTATGAAGAAAAATTTCCTAAGTTCTAGTGATACATCTTCATTCTTTTGATAAATTGATCGGGACTTATCACCGAGATATTCCCTAACTATCAGGTAAGCAAGGATGGTTGTGACATTTAAGCGTTTGCTTGTGAAACGGAATATCCTCGACTTGATTCTCAGTTAGGATGTTGTAGATAGACACTGATGAGGAGTCCCATGTTAGGGAGAAGTGGACATTCAAACTCTTTAGATTTCCAATATTTATTCACGTAACAAATGTTTGTGATCCCGATGAAACCTACACCTAAGTTGACGTCTTAAATTCATCCATTATTCGTAATATTCTTGATACTTCGGATCCGTTGGTCAGACAATATCGGCAACAACCTACTGTGTGAGAGAACAAACCAGATTCCGATAGAGTCAGAAATCATGAAGAAGTGTTGGAAGTGGATAGAATACACATTGAGGAAATCACTCAACTACCTCACGAGGCATGTCCTCACTTTGAATCCTCAAAGCCAAAGGGACAGAGGAAGACCAAAGAACACGTTACGCCGAGAAATGGACACAGACATGAGAAGAATGAACAACAATTGGATAGAACTAAAAAGGAAGGCCTAGAACAGAGTGAGTTTGAGAATGCTGATCGGCGACCAATGCTCCACTGGTAGTAACAGTCGTTAGTAAGTAAGAGTGGAATGTGATATAGTAATCCAAACGGAAACCTATAAATTATTGATACCTCAAGAACTTTATGCCTAAATAAACCCCATGATATTGGTAGATTAAAATTGGTCTATGACTGAGAACAATTAACATTTACAGCAATATCAATCATTATATACATTTCCAAGTAATTGAAAACTACTTGTATAACATAATGAATAGGTTTGTGCTGATTGGTTCAATGAGAAATGGTTAGCCAATAAGATTATTTCAACTAATCCGTTAACTAAAATGTTGATTTACACTTCAATCATTTCTTTGATTAAGAATCAACTATCACAAATGAAAACAAACTTTTTATTAATTGAGATCATGAAAAGATCAATGTTAGATCACTATTACAAAACCTGTAAGCACTGAACGTGAATGTTTACTACCGAGGAATCCTATACTGAGACGAAACATTCGTTCAATGCTTCCAGGTTCTCTCAATGATGGTCTAACATTGATTCATTCATGATCTTAATCAATTTTAAAGAAATATCTACTTACGCTTCACCAGCATCCCATAGTGCTTCAACATCTTGTTCAACTTGATTCATATTCACTATACTTTTCAATCCTTTTGTACTAATTTTTTCAACATCTTCATATGAAATTTCATCACGACTAGCTTGAAGTAATGCAACGACTAGATTTTGAAAATGTCCACTTAAATCATTTTGAACATCACTTTCTAAAGTTCTTCTAGGATCTATTTTAAAAAGTATAATTTCATTTTTATTATTGAAAAGGTCATCAGAATATTGTTATAACAACAATACATAGTATAAGAAAGGGGTTTTGTGCAGTTTGTAGTAATTTCAATAGTTGAGATTATGAGTCAGTTGAAGTTAGACAATCATGGAAAACTTGGAAGCGCTGCTGAGGAGTCCTATAATAAGAAGAAACGGCCGTTCAGTGCTTCAAGGTTTTCCGTGGTGGTTTAGCTTCAATCGACTCATGATCTCAACTATTGAAAATATATAGTATAATTATGTTGAAACAAATATCAATGTCTATTAATCTTCACAACAGACTAGGTTATTCAGTAATTTAACTAGATCCTTAATGAGAGCTTAAAAGCACTGGACTCCCGTTCCATCCTAGGATGGGATCTTTGAAGCAGTGAGCATCCACTATCCCGTACGTGGCAATCAAAGGAAGGACTCTTGGTCTCGTGTGAACATTTAACCTCTAGACCACTGGGCCGGTATCCAAGAGTATTTATATATAACTTCAACTTATTCACGATATCGAGTGACCCTTATCCATTCCCTACTGTAAATAACTTCCAGTGAAAACAGACCTTAGTGTGGTTACTGATGAAGACCTTAAAACTATGAAACATCAACTGATATATCAGCACAAAAATTTGAAATTTATAAATGTGTTTTAAATAAGAACTCTGAACCAGACGTTATCCAAAAACAGGTTTACTTAAAGGAACAAAATAGGTAGTTAAGGCTGATCAACTATGAGTCGACAGGTGCACGGGGATCAGTCGTAGCATCAAGAGCACAATGAAAAGAGGAAGATTTCTTTCAAGCCACATAATTCATAAAGCCTAACACTGTAACTAGTGAATAATTGATCAACTATGTAAACCAATTAGTTTCTTTTATAGATTTTGATAAAACAATGAGATCATCTTCTTCTGTTCGTTTTTCTATTAGGACTAAATATGTGTCAAACTACTTACTATTATTCAGTAACATATTCATAAAACAGAAAAACCAAGATAATAATGAGTTTGAATTCGTAGGTTGTATTCTTCACGAATTGACTTCAGTACAAGTACCATTGATAAATAGGTAAGATTGTACATTTGCTTCTTACTAGCGTAAGACTACTCAATAGTAAATACGAATGAAGTTCAGGTAATACTCAGTGTATTCAAACGGTCTATCACTTAGCTGTGTTTTTTTTAAACATATACCTCTAATTTCAATGGTTGAGATCTTGAGTCAATTGAAGCTAGACCATCATGATAAACCTGGAAGCACTGGAGGTTGTTTCTAACTTCACTTGCTGTGGTTTTCTTGTATCTTCCCATTGTTCTTTAGGACTGCAATTAGTCAGTCTCTTGTGAGAATATACTTTTAACTTCCATCAATTCGTTATATATTGAGCGATTATTTTCAAGCGTCATTAACGAGCATTGTTTTACTCACAGAATGGGCAACGTCCACCTGTTATGAGTTCCCTCTCGAGCTTCAGGAAATGATTTTGTACATGTTTTATCATCATTAGTTATCATTATCATTAATTCTTAACAAGCAGTTTGAACGTATTTTAATTGGCCTTATAGCAACTATGTATATATATACTCAAGGTTGTAATCACGAACTGGTTCGCGCTCAGAAGTAGTGAGTTTGAGCCCTAATGAGATATTGCAGTTAGTCACATATTAAAGCGCACTGCTGAGGAGTCCCATACTAAGACAAATTCGAGGTCCAGTGCTTCCAGGTTTCCAATGGTGGTATAGTTTATATCAACTCGTGAATTCAACTGTTAAAATTGCTACAATCTTCACAAATCCCCATTCTCACAATATTCATGTGCTCACTAGTGACTAAATTCAAGATGGATATACTGGAGTTCTAGTAAGAAGCCGTGATCAGTCGAGTCCAATCCGTGTAGGGTGTGAGAGAGTCATTCATCACAGACAATGGATGAAGGGATGTGCAAGTTCTTTAATCGATTGAAGTTAGATATTAATAACATTAGATGCCGGTTCAGCGATTTAAAGGTTAAACGTTCACGCAGTATCGTGGATGCGTACCGCTGAGGAGTCTCATCAGTGCTCCACTGGTGGTCTAGCTTAGATAGACTCTTAACTTCAGCTATGAAAATACATATTCAAGCAAAAGAACTGTGCAGTGTTACATAGTTATCAACTGTTGTTAAGACTACTACTAATCAGTGTTATCATTGACATGGATACTTAATCTTTTCTAATCAATTCATTATTGACAATGGAAACATTCAGTGTTATGTTAATTATACAATTTGACTTACCGCTGACTCCATAAGCCTTTAGAACTGAAAAAAATCAGATGCAAAAAAAACGTCATTCAAGATAAATGTTTTACCGCACTTTTAGAATTTATCAGTTAAGTGTGTTCCCATCCAGTTGTTGTATTTCTGATACATCTTGCTAATTGAACGCTAGATTCCGTTCCTAGACTCTTCTAGTAACCGTCAGGCTAAATATACATTTTCATGCATGAATATATAACACATTTTGTAATTGAATGCGTAGATTTGGTTTCCTAAGTTCTTCTAGTAACCCCCTCCCATATGTTAAATCTACCCAGCAACGTGAACACAAGAGAAAAGGTGGGAAATATGGAAGAAAATACTTGACTCCAAAGGTTCATTTATGTACAGAAAATCTGATGTTTTTTTAGTATTTTAGATGTCTTCAGGTTTCCCGAAAATTCTGGAATGCTACTAAACATAGTAGCAGTATAAGTAAACACGCAATCAAAAAACTTGATACGTGACTTTTCACTTTCTAAATGTTTCTGACAAAACTTCTAGTAAACATTGATTGAATAAGATGCTTCTCAGTGTTTTCAGAATCCTTTCCAGGATATTTTTTCAAGTTTTCTGGATCACCTCAACACTTTCATTGATCAGCAAAATTAATATTCATTGCTTAAAATACCGGACTATTTAAGGTAGATAATAGTCTCAATTCAAGAAGACTTTTAAACTGACAAATTGATCAATCTAATGTTGAATATATCAACAAACAGAAGACGTCCTAGCCATGTATTAATAACAATCATTGTACTCCAGCTATATATGGACGTCAGAGTTTATCAAAGAAGAAAACGTCACTGGATGTCAAGAAAGTCTAAATAATCTTGATCTAACAAAAAACAATATTCGAACTTCAACACTGAACACTTAGAACACAGAAAGAGTTATTACTATGATTTGTAGTCCTTGAGTTTGATACTGATAAGTAATCTCTCAGTACACGAATCCGACTGACTGCTTAATTGAAAAGACTGAAAGTGGGAAGTATATATATATATATATATATATATATATATATATATATATATATATATATCAGAAGGGGTTTTGTGGATTTCAACTGGGTCTGTTGTGAGATAGTAACTCACTGAAGACAATGGTGTACGTGTCGCTCAATTTTATGGATAAGTTGAAGTTAGACATTAACACCGTTCGATGACGACCAGCTCAGTGGTCTAATGGCTAAGCGCTCGCGCGCGAGACTGATAGGTCCTGGGTTCGAATCTCGCGAGGTAGGATCGTGGATGCACACTGCTGAGGAGTCCCACAGTCGGATGAAGCGGTCATCCAGTGCTTCCAGGTCTTCCATGATGGTCTATCTTCAACTGACTCATGATGTCAGCTACCAATATATATATATATATATATATATATATATATATATATATATATATATATATATATATCCCTCAAAGAACTAATCCATCAATGACGCATATCTTCATCTGTTAGACGTGAGAGTTATTTCTTGGTCAGTGATGTGCGTTTATTATTTAGGAACTAATGATTGATACAATGTATCCAATTATCATTCTAAGACAAATCGCTGTTGTTTCAAATACTTAATTTTAGTCATGTAACTTCCAACTCTAATGAACTATATGATATTAGGAAATAATTGAAAAGATTTTGAGATGATAAAGAAGACTTGTAACTCAAGTGGATGATTTTGATGAAGTTTTGTTTTCTGAGATGGATGGTAGAAGTTCTATCAGAAATTTTTGTTGATGAGATCGTTCAAAAGAACGATGAAAGCTCCATGACCAAACTATCCAGGTGAGAGAATAAAACTCTATCAATTGAAAAGATTCCAGTAGGTATGAAGCTTAAAACAGTGGCAAGATATCTAAAGAGTCTAAATTTTGATAACTCTCAAGTATGCTTAGAAGGATGGAAAACAAGTTGAGAATATTGTATTATTAAGGTGTAGGATTAATGTACTTCAAAAGTGATTTCCTAGCCACTTGCTAATAACCATTGCCTAAATCTACATGAAAATTTGAACACAAAAGATATGATTCTGCATTTCTTAGATATTTCTGCTAAGATTTCTATTCAACGTTACCTGGATAAAACATTCCTTGACATTTCTAAGCATTTGAAGATTTTGATGAGAGATACAATTGAGAATACTCCAACAAAACCTTTATAATTGAGATCATGAACCAATTGTTATTAGACTACCATTCGAAACTTAGAAGTTATGGATGACCGTTCCATCCAATTGTGGCACTCTTCAACAATGCACATCCACGATCCTACCTCACTAGATTCGAACCCAGAACCTATCGGTCTTGCATGCGAACATTGAACCTCTAGACTACTGAGCCAGTTGGTATCCAACAGTTTTTATGTCAAACGTCAACGTTATTATAATACATATTTTTTTACTATCTTAATTAAACAGACTACTTAAATCTACTTACCATATTGATAAGCTTGTTTAATATTTTCAATTTCAGTATTAGTTGATGTACATAAAACTTCAATAATTGTTTCTTCATCAGTACCTGCACCATTAATTGCTTTATATAATGCACGTGCATTCACTATATCTATATCAGTTAATAACATTTTAAGTAGTTTTTTAAAATGACCGCTTGTTTCACTAGATAATTCATCTATTAAATCCTATTTTAAAACAAAAAAAATTAAAAATATAATTATTAAATGTTTTATATAAACAATTGAAACATTGAATTATTTTTTTTTAAAACGATAAGAAGCGCGAAACTATAATTTATGAAAGAACCAATCAGATTTAAGGTAACAGGTGTTGGATTTTGGCGCGTAATTCATTCGGTCCAATAGCATTTTAGTATTATAGTTAATGTCAATTCGTGATGTAAATCCCTGCAAAAATCTAATTCCTAAACTTAACCATCAACTATAAATCATAATTCTAGTTTCTCATTGTTAAGTGACGATAAACATAATGAATGGTAATTTGAGGATCCTTTTATGGATCAATACTAAACGTATATTTTTATCGTATAATTGTTAAATAACTAAACTATTCATATTGCAGAGGCTGAGATTGGTGTTCTGAACTTAACTGGCTGGGCTAGGCAGGAAGCAGAACCAATCAGAAGTCTAGGCTGCTCGCACGTTGGTCGGATCGATAATCCACTGCTCTCCAATCGGCGGACACAAGTTATAACCCTCATTTGGTCCTATTTACTAGGAGAACATTCTAAAGGTCACTTAATCATAGTCTCACTACAAGAAGAGATCAGTTTTTTAAAGGTTATAGTATTTTCATAATTGAACTGACAAGTCAATTTAAAGTAAGATCATCAATGAACGTTTGAAATTACTGTAGTTTTATATTAGAACGAAACAGTCATTCAGTGATGTCAAGTTTTCAGTAGTGATGTAACTTAGATTGACTTTTGAATTTAACTATGAAAATGCCTCTAAGTTGCTTTTATAGTTGAGATAAATTTCTACGCAATAATAGAATTGAATACATTCGTTAAGAAACCCTTATACTAAGCTTCATACATTTTTATTAAAATTGAATAATGGTCAGTATTGAGATACAGGACGAGAGTTTCGCGGCACTTGAACTCAGGACCTTCTGTGGTGCGTGCAAATGCTTAAATCTTTAGACCACTAAACGTCAATCGATTCATGATCTTGAGCAACACTTCATTCATTGCTTCAGATGGATAACTGTCTCACACTCGATACGGATCGGAATCTACTGTTCAAAGAGTGCGGGACTGTCGATGAGCACTGTTGAAGAATCCCATACTAGGATGAAATGGCCGTCCAATGCTTCCAGGTTTTGCATGGTGGTCTAGCTTCAATAGACTCATGATCTCAACCATTAAAATCACTATAATATCCACAAAAACCCTTTCTGATATTTTGGTAATCCTACCTCTTTGTTGTTATTTATTAGCTTCTTGTAATTGGTTTCAAGTCTTACTTGAACTATGAATCAATTAGTGAATACTATCATGTTGAACAAATTTCAGTTGATCAAGAATTTTTCAAACATACAATTACAATTTGATATTGAAATTAAGACCTAAATCACCACTGAGGACTTGAAAGCACTAAACGATCGTTTCATCTTAGTATAAAACTGCTCAGGATTACGCATTCACAATCCTTTATCTGGGAATCAAACTCAGAACTTTCAATCTTATTACATAGACCACTGGCCAGGTATTCAACGGTATCTAATATTGCCAGGTTTTCAATCGTGGTGTTTCATTAAAATCAGTTCATGATATAAAAGCTATAAATTCTCTAATCTTTACAAATTCTATAAAGTGATACAATCTATTTGTTGGAGTTCGAACTCTATCATCAATTACTTCTTAATTTATTTGTAGTAATATACAATTTTACGTATTACAAATCATTAAGACTCAGCACACACAAAGGAAAAACCAAGATTCTCAAATACAACACACAAAAAAAACACCAACCCATTCACACATGATGGAGAAACTCTGGAAAATATGGATACGTTCACATATCTAGGAAGCATCATCGATGAACAAGGGAGATGTGATGCAGATGTGAATGCAAGAGTTGACAAAGCAAGGGCAACATTCCTACAACTGAAGAACATATGGAACTCAAAACAACTTTCAACCAATATCAAAGTCACAATCATTAATACAAACGTCAAGACAGTTTTACTGCACGGAGCTGAAACTTCGAGAACTACTACAACCATCATCAGCAAGGTACAAGTATTTACAAATCGTTGTCTACACATGATACTCGACATTCATTGGTTGGATACCATCAGCAATAGCCTTCTGTTGGAGAGAACAAACCAGCTTCTAGCTAAATAGGAAAGTAAGAAAAGACGTTGGAAGTGGATAGGACATACAATACAGAAATCACCGAACTGAATCACACGGTAAGCCCTAACTTGGAATCTTGAAGGGAAGCGGAAAAGACGAAGGTCAAATAGCACATTACGTCGGGAAATAGAAGCAGAAATGAAAAAGATGAATGACAACTGGAAAGGATTGGGCAAGACAGGGTTGGATGGAGAGTGCTGGTGGTTGGACTATGCTCCTCCATAAGGAGTAACAGACGTAAGTAAGTAAATAACACACAATTATGATTACTATCAATTTACCTTTCCATACATTGCTTTAAACGTTTCTCGTATTTGAATTCGTTGAATAGAATTACGATAACCCAAAACATTAATGATACGATGTTCATCAGTTCCTAATGAAAATACAGAAAGAAAAAAAGAGTGTACGAAAATGTTTTTTTCAGTTACTTTGCAAGTGAGTGGTTATTGAAGCTTATTAGCTAAGTGGATAACTTAGTGGTATTTGAAACGAACGGTACTAGATTCAAGTTCCAGAGTGAATATCAACTTTGGTATGCAGGTACATTCAACTGACAAGTTTCAAATAACAATACAAAAGCATCTTAGATTTCAAATGCTAGATCCATTCCATGCATTTTAGATGCCTATATTAATAATAAAACACATTTCCTTCAAACAAAAAGACACCTCAATCTAGTATATTTTATACCTTCATTAATTGTAGTAGTACGTGTGAACGAAGGTTTTGCAATACTGTAAATTGTAAACCAACAGAGATAAACTCAACAGTCTGAACGTCAAATACTTGCTAAATACCCTGAAGGTGTTCAGTTCAATCTCCCGTTAAAACAGAAGATGAAAACTACCTTAAAAAATCCAATTCTATGACGAAATAGTTGTCAAATGCCTTCTGGTTTTTAATGGATATCTAACTTAAATCAGTTCATGATTAAAAAAAACTGCTCCCAAATGTACTGGAACGGCCGAGGGTGAGGAGAGTCAGCTCTCTTTACCGAAATACTTTCATATGGACATACGTATACAGCCACTGCCAGTGAATTCCTACTCACTGCCTTCTCACGGCATTACTATTGTTTACGAAATTGAGAGGACGAAAAGAGAATGTTCGGCGTTGTAATTGGGTTGGTGGATATGGAGTATCCACATAGGGGAGTTGGAAAACCATCATTCCAAACTAATGGTACACATGGACTCTAGTATCCTGAAGGAACAAACGCGTCTGAACCAATCATTGATTGCCGGCTACTATGGGACTGCATCTTCTTACGCTGCTCCACTGTCTTGTGAATCAGACCTTTAAGTCGAAGGCTCTGGGTGTGGCTCCCTAAAAAAAACCACCTACTTCGGTTTGAGCTCCCTATCAGTATCATAAGCCACACACAAACCAAGTGACTTGTGTAGTGCATATCTATTCGGTGCCCCTTTTATACCAATACCCATGTGTTCAAGTGAAAATTAATTAATAAACACAAAACCACAGATTCAGTAATCTCCACAGTCTTCTATATGAATGTCTATATGCCAATGACCAATACACCAACGTCAAGCCTCCTTAAACTATTATTTTCTTATTAGTTTTCGGGTTATCATGTGGTAAAAAAACACTGATGAAGTTTGTCTGGTTACTATGTTTACACTGTTTATGCATGATTATAAGCTTTTCAAGGGTAAATCATCTTATCTTGTAATTGAGATAGTCAATCACGCCCAATTAGAACTTATAACAATGAATAATTAATGATGAAAGAAAAACAGAATTTTCCACTTTTTACATAGTTATGATGAAAAGTAACGAAAGAAATTAGATAATTATATGACTATGATATAGACTACTTATATTGAAAGGTATAAGTAGTATGTAGCCGCAATCCGAAATGTAAAACCTGTCAGAAGATTAAATGGAAGAGATCGGTAAAGGGAAACAGTGAAGCAATGGAATAACAACAGAATTCGAAGAATGAAGAAGTATCTATATGACAACAAAATGATGCAATACAAAACTGTTACAATTTATGGCTCTATCTATTATCATGTGATGAAGTCACCAATCAGAATACCGACTTATATGATTCTGTCCCTCTACTAAACTAATAACACATCAACAAGTACTAGCAAGCCTGTATCTACTCTGAGTCTTTATTGGTCCTCAGTATGATTGATTATGAAACTCTGTATCGTTCTTCTGAACGACATCATCAGCACAAACTTCATGTAGAATTGAAATGTTCAGATTTCTACACATGTGGTTCACAGTGTGTTCTGTACACCTCGATATTAGATTAGTTCTTGTTAACCTTGAACCCGTCATTGTTTACTTCTTTGTTTTGGTTCATGTTTATGTTTTTTGTGACCCAGGATCTGTCATTATTTAGATCGTGTGAATGATTGCTGTCGAAATATACATATATATCGCTAATTCTCGTATAGGATTATCGACTTAATCCGCGTTAGCGAATAACGGAATTAAATAAGCCAAATACGAGAAAAGATTTTGAATGCATATATTTCATGGACATATTCTTGATTTGAACAGGCAATCAAGGCGATGAAACAAAGATGGAAGAACGAAGCAGGTTGGCGAAGGCGTGTGAACCAACTCCAAAAGTTAATCAATATTTATAGTCACACAAAAATAAGTTACAGATATATAGTAAATAAGATAAGAAGGGCACACATATATGCGCTCATATAAAAACAGTTAAGGTTGATAAGCCAATAATTAACATATACAAAATGTAGCTTGATTAGAATGGATAAACTAGCTTGTCCGTAAGCTAGAATAAACTATGTAGGTTTGACATAGTACCCGCTCCTAAAACTGGTAGATGATGTAATCACGGTTAAAATGAGTTAAATGAGATTATAAATTCAATCGTTTAATAACAATGTATATGCGAACTCATTCTACATGTATAAGTCTATGCATGTTTCTTCATACAGGTATTTCTCAGTTCTTAAATCACTTTAACAGTTGTGTGTTCCGGTTATTATCGAAATCATGTAATTTTATTACAGAATAACTAGCTTGTAGTGTGTAATAGGATCTAGGAGGTTTTTGATTGAGATCATGAACCGATTGATGTTAGACTATCATTGAAAAACCGAAAGCACTGGACGGCCGTTTTGTCCTACTGTGGGACTCCACGATCCCGCTAGTGGGATTCGAACCCACAACTTACAGCCTTGAGCGCGAACGTTTAACCGCTAGACCACTGAGCCAGCATCCAACTGTGTTAATATCTAACCTCAACTAATCCACGAATTTGTGCGACCATCTTCCATGGTACTGTACAATAAATAGCTTGGGTGCAGCTAGACGAAATGGACCTAGCTCTTCCATCTCATACACCAACAAATGCATGTAAAAACAGACAATGTAACAGCAGCCACTGAAATAGTAGGCCTCAGCATACACAAAGGAAAAACCAAAATCCTCAAATACAACACAAAGAACACTAATGTATTCATACATGATGGATAAACTTTAAAACAGGTGGAAACTTCCACTTATCTAGGGAGATTCATCGATGAACAAAAGAAGGACAGTATTCCTACAACTAAAGAACATATAGAATCCAGAAAAACTTTCAACCAACATCAAAATCAGAATCTTCAATACAAACGTCAAGACAGTCATACTATACGGGGCTGAAACTTCCAGAACTATTACAAACATCATAAAAAAGGTACAAGTATTTATAAACAATTGTCTGTACAAGATACTTTATGTCTGTTGGCCGGATACCATAAGCAACAGTCTACTATGGGAAAGAACAAACCAACTTCTAACTAAAGAGGGAATCAGGAAAAGATGACATTGAGGAAATCATAGGATTGGATCACGAGGGAAGTGTCGACTTAGAATCCTGATAGGAAAAGGAAAGGATAAGATCAAGGAACATATTGTGTCGAGTATTCGAAGTAGACATGAAACGGATGAATAGGAATTGGAAACAACTGAAAAGAATTACTCAAGACAGAGTTGATTAGAGAATGTTGATAGTTGGCTTATGCTCCTCCATGAGGGTTAGCAAACGTATATAAGTTAGTATATCAACAATATTTCAACAATATACCATTCCTTATTTCATTGTAGTCCAAGTTGTTGAATTCATTTTTTGACAAGTTACCTTAAGAACCCCAAGTATATGTTTTGTTCTAAAGCATTTCCATGAAGTATAGAATAGTACTGTTTGAACCATTTACAAATAAAGATCAGATAAATAAATAAATCAATATGGGGATTTGTGAAGACGGTAGAATTGTCACAATTGAAATCACCAGTCAATCTAAGCTAAACGATCACTGAAAATATGAAAGTTCTAGATGACCGTTTCTACCCAGTAATGAAACTCTTCAGCAATGTGAATCGAGACTAGGGACAAATAACTGGATACTATAACAAAAATTATTGATTAATATATTAAACTGATAACGTATGACCATATACAAATTAGTTTCTATATGAATTTGATTTTGAATAACACATTTATACTACTGGAGGTCAATCTCTACCTGAATAATGTCTCATTCTGTGAAGCTGGATAACACTGGTAATTCGAATCACACAGGGGGGAGCATATAAGCTATATAACACAAAATCTAAGTTGATTAAAAATTTACTGCAAGTCATCTATCACCTATGAATATCAACTCCTAGATTATATTTATCGAGATGGAATATTTCAATCATTTCAAAAACCGACGAGTCCCAAATAGGACGAAACGCGCGTCCTGGATTCTACTGCTAGCCAATATCCATCTTTGCATATAATGCTTGTGAATTAAGGCTATATCGAAGCGATACGCACAGTATGCACATATGCTTATAACAGACTGATCAATTGCAGTCTTAAATCACAATGGGAAGATTCAAGCAAACAATAACATGTGAATTTAAAATTCACCCGATTGCACTAGCAAGTGGCTAGCAGGACTCAGTAGGTTAGTGAATAACGAGATAGCGTTTGAAGTGAATGATACTGGGTTCAAGTCTCAGAGTGAACATCAACTCTTTGAGATGCAAGTACATCCAACCGACGAGTCTCAAATAAGACGAAACGCGTGTCCTGGATTTCACTGTTAGCTACTATCCATCTTTGCATATCTAATTGGACGTAAAACAATCATTCTTATACCCTAATGTGTTTTTACTTTAATGAATGAACATGTAACTCATGTTCATTATTTCATGTATACTAAGTGTTTACTATGAGAAGTTGTAATGTAATCAACATATAATTGTGTACTTTGTTCTAATTAGTAATATACATATAATCAATCACATGTATTCCATAAAAAAACTTGAATTAGAAATCATGCACGTTCAATGTTCAAATTGTTTATTAAAACAAAAATGTAATTGGTATCA